CGTCAGCTTGGCCGAGGACCCCTTTGATGTAGAACGGGATAAAAAGCAGAACAGAGGGGCACCCACCATTGTAACCTCATTTGCCAGTAAAAAATATGATAATTGTTTTTTTATCCTTTTATCTGGCAACAAAACTGACACCTTTTTTACAAGGTGTCACCTTTTTTACAAGGTGTCAGTTTTGTTGCCAGATAAAAGGGTAAAAACATAATTATAAGGGTAAAAACCCAATTATCATATTTTTTACTGGCAAATGAGGTTCCAATGGTTTAAATGCTTACCCCGAACTCTCATACTCTGATGGTGCATTGTCTTTTGAGTTGTGCGCCTTTTGGCGTCATCTGGTCCAACACCATGTGAGACTAGGCTCTAAGGAAAGCTGTCTTGGGTGTGGACCAATCAACTTCAAGGACAGTGCATACATTATCAGAGTTATGTTTTTTGTTTGCATTATGACTGCAGGTATTGTGGTCTATGCAAACATGACTCCTTGTAAAAAAGGTGTCAGTTTTGTTGCCAGATAAAAGGGTAAAAAACCAATTATCAGAGGGGCACCCAGTTCAGTTCTCTCCAAGTCAGCGATCGGGGCAGTCAACCTTCCGGCCACTCGAGCGTCCGCGTGACGTGTCAGAGCGCAGCCAGGACACGACCCCGGCGGGAACTTCGTGCGGCCTCGTTTCTCCCCCGACTTCCCACACGTCCGGGCAGAACCGTGAGTGCGTGAGAGAGGTGAGAGGTAGCGTCGGGATCTACCGAGGGATTTCATAGAAATAGGTGAGACGCTAGACTTGAAGCTTTCGTGACTGCAAGGAATCATATTCTTAGGTGTTTTCGGTAAAGTCACGTAGGCAAAACATCAAAATTAATAAAAATAATAAAATAAAATAAAGATCACGACGTTTCGGAGGCAACACAAGTCTCCGTCATCAGGTGGGACAGTCACAGCCAGATCGGCTGCATCAAGTGAGGCAATGATTCAAGATGTAATCCCTTAAAAGCGAGTTGAGGGGGGAGGAGAGGGGGGGGGGCTCATCAGAATGTGGTAGCCAATGAATGGAAAGTATCGGGAGAGAGGGGCCAAAAAAAGGGTGGGCGATGGCGTGGAAGCTATTGTGCGCAAGCGACACACTGCTGCCCACGCCAACGCATTGGACAGAGAGGGGGAGGTCTGATACACATGATAGAAAAGAAAAGAAAATGCGTATGTTTATACCAATGCTGGCTGAACAATGAAGAGATTACTGTTTTTTGGCCCACCCTTTTTTTGACCCCTCTCTCCCAATACTTTCCATTCATTGGCTACCACATTCTGATGAGCCCCCCCCCCTCTCCTCCCCCCTCAACTCGCTTTTAAGGGATTACATCTTGAATCATTGCCTCACTTGATGCAGCCGATCTGGCTGTGACTGTCCCACCTGATGACGGAGACTTGTGTTGCCTCCGAAACGTCGTGATCTTTATTTTATTTTATTATTTTTATTAATTTTGATGTTTTGCCTACGTGACTTTACCGAAAACACCTAAGAATAGGTGAGACGCTGCTCTGCTAGGTGATTCTGGTTTCGGGACAGGTCGTGTTTAATTACAGTCGCGTCGGGAATAAACTCTAGTATAAAATACCGACGTTGTGTGGTTCCTGTGGGTGTGGAGAGAGCGTGGGGTGGTGTGTATTGGTTTAGCCATGTTTGATTGTTGTAGTACAGAGTTAGACTGATGGCCTTAATCTAAGTTGTCTTGTGGTTGTTGTTGTTGTTTGACTTGCATCCCACTGGGATTTTTGCACACAGCGTTGGTGTACGGTGTTTTTTCTGCAATATTTTGCTGTCTTTTCTTGGATTTTCTGTTTGCACTTAGTCACATAGTCACTTTAATATGTTTTTTGTTCATGTTTTTTGTTTGTTGCGGTTGCACCCAATTCAAGAGCCGAATGGCTCACAGGGCTATACCTAATAAATGAACTTGAGTATGCGCATTAGTGTGATGATCGGCACCTATTCACTGATAAACGATCGCGGACGTTCGGGGCAGGTGTGAATAACGGGGCAGGTGTGAATAACGGGGCAGGTGTGAATAACGGGTGAAAATACGCGAGGCAGCCTCGTTCGTTTCGCCATTGTGCCCGGGCTTAGCGCGCAAACAGCCTCATCAGCGCCACCACCTGCACCACGTGTTTGCGCTCGCCCATGCGCGTTGGCTCGGGGATTAATGCGCGTGTCTTGTCACTAATAGTGTGCCGTTACCCTGGTAATTAACGCGCAAACCCTACCATCATTAATTTGGTGCTGCTGGTGGTGGTAGTGCTGGTGGTGGTTGTGGTGGTTGTGGTGGTTGTTGTGGTGGTGGTTGTTGTAGTGGTGGTTGTTGTGGTGGTTATTGTAGTGGTGGTGGTTGTGGTGGTGGTTGTTGTGGTGTTGGTTATTGTGGTTGTTGTGGTGGTGGTTATTGTGGTTGTTGTGGTGGTGGTTATTATAGTGGTGGTGGTGTTGGTGGTGCTGCGCCGCGCATATTCACGCGGCTATTTTTAGCGCGTGCACGTGGCGGACAATAGGAGCGGGTGGCTGCGCGTACGCAGCGTGCACAGGTGCGCGCGTGCAAGAAGTCGCCTCCGAACATCTGGTGGGGGGGAGTGTGCGCGGGGAGTGTACGTGGGGCGTGTGTGGGTAACTCCAGGCGGTGGAGGGCCAGCCTCGAGCTACGCTTCACAGAGAGGACGCCGGTGCGGGGAGGCCGATGACTCGATCGGCGACAGCCCGGCAGGAAGAGGAGGAGGAGGTCGAAGGGGGAGAGGAGGCGGGGAGCATCAGCCCCCACAACTGCACTCTTCTAACACTGCACCCTTCTAAAATTTCACTTTTAACACCACTCTTGTAACAACACTGCAATGTTAACAACTCTGCACTCCTGGCTCGTGCTGCTCGATCAGCCACAATCGCACGATGCCGAATGACGTGGATGCCGAATGACGTGGATTCCTCGTGTTCAATAAAGGTTCGAGTTGAGGTCGCGGGGTATCGTGGCAGCAGTAGCAACACCACCACCCTCCGACACCGACCCAACCCGCGACTTCTTCAGTTCGCTCGCGATGCGAGCCCACGGCACTTGTGATGTGCGTTGGGAGTGATGATTGTAATGGTGGTGATTGTGTCTAATGGTGGTGGTGGTGGGTGTGATAATGATGGTGGTGGGTGCGGGATGATTGTGACGCACGTATGTTGTACCTTGCTAATAGGAGGTGCGGTGGTGGTTGTGGTTCTGCCGGTTGCCCTACCCCATCTTACCCCCCACTGCCCTGAGCTCCGGGGTGGACACACCGTGGGGGTGGACACCGAGGGGGTGGACACCGTGGGGGTGGACACCGTGGGGTGGACACACCGTGGGGGTGGACACACCGTGGGGGTGGACACCGTGGGGGTGGACATTGCGGGGTGGACACCATGGGGGTGGACACTGCGGGGTGGATACCGTGGGGGTGGACACCGTGGGGGTGGACACTGCGGGGGTGGACACCGTGGGGGTGGACACTGCGGGGTGGACACCGTGGGGGTGGACACCGTGGGGTGGACACCGTGGGGTGGACACCGTGAGGGTGGACACCGTGGGGGTGGACACCGTGGGGGTGGACACACCGTGGGGTGGACACCGTGGGGGTGGACACCATGGGGGTGGACACACCGTGGGGTGGACACCGTGAGGGTGGACACCGTGGGGTGGACACCGTGGGGGTGGACACCGTGGGGTGGACAGCCTCAGCCACGTGCGCTCCTTCCACTCCCCACGTGACCCCACCCCCACACACTCAGCCGTACACCAGCAGCAGCAGCAGCCCCCCACTCAGGACTCGTCACGGGTGCCGAGCGGGGGGCCGAGCGGGGGGCGGATTCGACACAAATTCCCTGCGGTGTCCGCTGCTGCTGCTGCATCGCGAGTTTGCGATAGACGGCTTCACGAAGCCTTCATCCAGCAGTGGATGGATCATGGCCGATTATGTAATCGTGCGCAACAGCGCCGAAGCTGAGGACGCTGGGCATTGCCCAGATAAAACCGCTGTGGTGTGAACGTGAGAGCAGCAGGCCGGCTTGTTGTTACGTTACTGGAGGGAGTCAACCGGCGGTGAGTGTGAAATACTGCAGGGCGCGTGGCTCACTTAGTGGACTGGTGAGCCGGCTTGTAGGAGACGGCTCAGCCAGGGTCTCCACTGCAGGGCGCGTGGCTCACTTAGTGGACTGGCGAGCCGGCTTGTAGGAGGTGGCTCCGCCAGGGTCTCCACTGCAGAGCTAGCGGCTCATTTAGTGGATTAGCGAGCCGGCTTGTAGGAGACGGCTCAGCCAGGGTCTCCACTGCAGAGCTAGCGGCTCACTTAGTGGACTGGCGAGCCGGCTTGTAGGAGGCGGCTCCGCCAGGGTCTCGCTGCGGGCGCGGATCTCAGGAGCCTAAGAATCCGTGGCGGTGGAGGCGGCGGCGCCGTGGGAAGGTAACAGCCCCCCCCCCCCCCCCGTGGACCCGGCCCCAGTGAGAGCAGGAGACAGAGCAGAGAGACAGGAGACAGAGCAGAGAGACAAGAGACAGAGTAGAGAGACAGGATACAGAGCAGAGAGACAGGGGCGTGGAGGCACGGCACGCCTCTCATCCCCATCCTCTCCCATCACCACACTCCGGTCATCCATCATCACCACCATCATCACCATCCTCATCACCATCCTCGCTTCCTTCCGTCCTCCTCTCTCCATCCTCCGTCTCCCATCATCACCCCCCGCCTCATCCTCCTGCCCCCCCCCCCGCCTCCATCACGAGGGCACGGCCATCGTGCGGCGCCTCTGCATGCGAGCCGCCTGGGATGCAGCGCGGCTGTGAGGAGCAGCAGCAGGGGCAGCAGCAGCAGGAGCAGCAGCAGCAGCAGCCGTAGGTGCGGGGAGGCCCCTGGGACCAACACGGGCCCTGAGCCACCGGGGAATCAGAGAGCCGGGGGGGGGGGGGGATCAGAGAGCCGGGGGGGGGGGGGGGGGCCCGGCCAACGTCGCGGGGTCACGCCGAGACAAAGAGGCGGATCAGAAGAACCGCACCCCCCGCGCCCCCCGTGTCGGATCGGAAGGGCGCGACTCGACTGGACGCGATCAGCTCCAGGGAACTCACGAGGGGCAGCTGAGCGGCCTCCACAGCACACGGCGACCCCTGGGGGGGGCGGGGGGCAGGAGGAGCCGGAGTCGCCACTCGCGACGGAGCTGGAGGTGAATTGCAGCCCCACGGAGCTCTCCGCCAGCACCACGGGCCGGTGAGGGGTGTGGGTGGAGTGGATGGAGGGTGTGGGTGGAGTGGGTGGAGTGGGTGTGGGTGGAGTGGATGGAGTGGGTGTGGGTGGAGTGGATGGAGTGGGTGTGGGTGGAGTGGGTGGAGGGTGTGGGTGGAGTGGGTGGAGGGTCCGTGTGGGTGGAGTGGGTGGGGGGTGTGGGTGGAGTGGGTGGAGGGTGTGGGTGGAGTGGGTGGAGGGTGTGGGTGGAGTGGGTGGAGGGTCCGTGTGGGTGGAGTGGGTGGGGGGTGTGGGTGGAGGGTGTGGGTGGAGTGGGTGGAGGGTTGGGTGGAGTGGGTGGAGGGTGTGGGTGGAGTGGGTGGAGTGGGTAGAGGGTGTGGGTGGAGTGGGTGGAGGGTGTGGGTGGGGGGTGTGAGTGGAGTGGGTGGAGGGTGTGGGTGGGGGGTGTGAGTGGAGTGGGTGGAGAGTGTGGGTGGAGTGGGTGGAGGGTCCGTGTGGGTGGAGTGGGTGGAGTGGGTAGAGGGTGTGGGTGGAGTGGGTGGAGTGGGTGAAGAGTGTGGGTGGAGTGGGTGGAGGGTCCCTGTGGGTGGGGTGGGTGGAGGGTGTGGGTGGAGTGGGTAGAGGGTGTGAGTGGAGTGGGTGGAGAGTGTGGGTGGAGTGGGTGGAGAGTGTGGGTGGAGTGGGTGGAGGGTCCCTGTGGGTGGAGTGGGTAGAGGGTGTGGGTGGAGTGGATGGAGGGTCTGTGTGGGTGGAGGGTCTGTGTGGGTGGAGTGGGTGGAGAGTCCCTGTGGGTGGAGTGGGTGGAGGGTCCGTGTGGGTGGAGTGGGTGGAGGGTCCGTGTGGGTAGAGTGGGTAGAGGGTGTGGGTGGAGTGGGTGGAGGGTCTGTGTGGGTGGAGTGGGTGGAGAGTCCCTGTGGGTGGAGTGGGTGGAGGGTCCGTGTGGGTGGAGTGGGTGGAGGGTCCGTGTGGGTGGAGTGGGTAGAGTGGGTAGAGGGTGTGGGTGGAGTGGATGGAGAGTGTGGGTGGAGTGGGTGGAGGGTCCGTGTGGGTGGAGTGGGTGGAGGGTCCGTGTGGGTGGAGTGGGTGGAGTGGGTAGAGGGTGTGGGTGGAGTGGGTGGAGGGTCCGTGTGGATGGAGTGGGTGGAGTGGGTAGAGGGTGTGGGTGGAGTGGGTGGAGGGTCCGTGTGGGTGGAGTGGGTGGAGTGGGTAGAGGGTGTGGGTGGAGTGGGTGGAGAGTGTGGGTGGAGTGGGTAGAGGGTGTGGGTGGAGTGGGTGGGGGGTGTGGGTGGAGGGTGTGGGTGGAGTGGGTAGAGGGTGTGGGTGGGGGGTGTGGGTGGAGTGGGTGGGGGGTGTGGGTGGAGTGGGTGGAGGGTGTGGGTGGAGTGGGTAGAGGGTGTGGGTGGAGTGGGTAGAGGGTGTGGGTGGGGGGGTGTGGGTGGAGGGTGTGGGTGGAGTGGGTGGGGGGTGTGGGTGGAGTGGGTGGAGGGTGTGGGTGGAGTGGATAGAGGGTGTGGGTGGAGTGGATAGAGGGTGTGGGTGGGGGGTGTGGGTGGAGTGGGTGGAGGGTGTGGGTGGGTGGAGTGGGTGTAGGGGGTGGATGGTGGGGGTGGAGGGTCCGTGTGGGTGGGGTGGGTACAGGGTCTGTGTGGGCTAGAGAGGGCAGGTAACGGGACAGGTAACGAGGTAACCTCGCCCCCCGACGCGGCTTTTCTTTTTTTACCTGAAAGCCGTTTCGGCTCTGGGCACATTTTTTCTTATTTTTTTACTTCATGAGGGGGGGGGGGGGGGGACACACGTGACAACGTTTCGGTGACGACGCCTTGACGACGACGACGCCGCCGTGACGAGGGGTCCTCGTCCCTGCGGGTCGCAGCAGGGAGGGGCACGCCGCTCCGCTCGCACCGTCGTTCGATCGACTCGTGAGAATCGGGTTCAAGTTATTTATCACTTGCAGGAGGAATCCGATGAGCTATAAAGCTCTTTCGTAGCAGATGTAGCAGTGTAGGGGCACGGGGGTAAGAACGTTACACACAACAAACAGTGCAAGCACACCCCACAGGAGTGCAAAGTACAAGAAATGTAAACAAATCATCCAGCCGCACACAAATACAACACGAAACCATCCCCACAGAGGTTTTAAGTTATGTTTCTGAAGTGACCTGGCCACCGCAAATGATAGCCGCTCAACAAAGTGGCTCATCGTTGGCACATTCAGAGCAGCAACAAAGTAACCTTGGGCAATGAGAGGTCAGAGAGTGCCACCTCCCCCCCACCCAATCAGTTGGGTGGTACGGCTACTCTCTCGCGGTTTGATCGAATTGACTGCGATAATGATTCGTTTACCACGCGTGGTTTTTGTGCGTGTGCGGGTTCCGTTTTTCGTATCGATGAACGTTAAGGCGCACGCTCGACACACACTCGCTTGCTCACGGCACAACGCAAATTATTTTTTAAGACCGAAACAGGAGGAGGAGGATTTCTCAGACAACTCCCTGTGGCTCTCACCTGATGATGCTGCTGGCGGTGGTTGTTGTTGCAATTACCGGCGAGACGTCACGGGACTCGAATTGTAAATGTTGTTGTGGTGCCCCACTCACCAACACTCCACTCGTGCTGTACTAGTAACGAATCGTGACGTTTTGTTTTCGCGACGAGCCCGTGATGATTGGCTCCGTCGGGTGGCGGCGGCGGCGGCGGGTTTAACGACACAGTTATATTCACGCGATCGAACCCAACCAAAACCTCTGCTACGGGAAACGCGAACGTTCGATTAGTGTCGCGTGCAGCCTATAGCCGCCCCCCCCTCACCGTCACCCGCTGAGGGCGGCTAGTTGTGGGGGGTAGACGGGACGTCTCAAGATGGGCGAAAAAAATCGGCAAAACGTTCGAGTGACAATTTTTCGGGGCGCGAGCTTCAGGACGTTGAGTGGCAGCGGAGGGGCTGGGGGGGACGAGGAGGGGATGGAGGACCGCTCGTTTTGTGTGTTGAGTTGAATTTGATAGTGTGCACAACAAAGGTAAAGGCAAAGATCCCTCGTATAGCCTGAACACACTATGGGGGGCAAGTGCTGTTAGCGAGTAGTGCCTAACAAGTCCGGCACGGCACACGAGTGTGCGGGTGGCCAGCACCGCGCCCAACCGCCTTTGTCTCCCCATTAGCGATGTTTACACACCGCAGCAGGTACTCATTTGAGGCTGAGTCGACCTAGGGGAGGCCCGGGACCGGTTCAGATAATCGTCACTGGGTGTTGGCCGTGAGCGGGATTTGAACTCGTGTCGTCGGGTTTGGCTCTAGGAGCCAAACTCCGGCATCCTTCCGTACAATAACCAAGGGCTGTGGAAGATCACGTAGAATCGCAGTTAAGCTCGGAGGGAGGGAGGGAGCCCTGTTTCTCCCATGAGGCTTATTATTTGTCGAACGCGGTTTTGCCCAACACGGCTGCGAGCTGGGTGTTCGTGGTCACTGAGAGGCGGCGTTTAGTGACGTCGGATGGTTTCGGGTTTCACGAGACATCGTTGCTGGAGGTCCTGACGTCACGTGAGGGCCCTAGACTGCCACGATCATCTTGCGGAGAGATTTCGAGACTCCGTGTGGGGTGCAGAGTCTGGACGAGAGGGCCTGGCTTGTTCGGGTTGCTCCCACCTGCCCGTTGTGTGTTGCACGGACGAGTGAAGCACACGCGACCACGCCTCCTGCTTCCAACGTCACCGACCATTCTCTATCCACCGCTGGAGGAAGGCTGCTCACGGCTCGCCTGACCAGCGGCGGATGCCTGCGCCGCGTGCCTCCCCGCGTCACTCGCGTGCACGCCGCCGCTCCCCCTTTGGAGCTCTTTCATCCGCCTCCCATTGTGCGGAGCCTTTCACGGATGATCCCAGAGGCTTTTCTTGGCAGCTGGATGCTCGGCGGGCCCCCCGCCCCCCCCAAAAAAGGGCGAGAAAATGGCAGCGTCGAGAAGCGGCGGCTGCGGCGGCGGCGCCGAGGCTTGTGGCGTGGGCAGGAGGCGGGCGGCACAAACTCGGCAGAGAAAAACAAAACCCCGCAGCTCAAGGGTCGCGCTACCGCGGTGGAAGCGCGCCGCTAATTAGGTTTTCGGAGTGACCTTGCGCGAGGCAATTAAAAACAAATATCCCCCCAACGAATACATTGGGGCGATGTAATTTTTAGTTTATTTTGACGCGTACGTGAAAGTGAGCGCTCCACCGCCACCACAACCACCAACCACCACCACCACCAACCACCACCACCAACCACCACCAACCAATGCAGAGCAGATGACAAGGTTCGGCTGGCGTCTGCGTTTCCGCCTCGGCACACCACACTGTGGTGGCCTACGCTCCCTTCCCCCTCGTCCGGAGAGGGTGGACCGGGTTGGCACTCGCCGCGTGCTACGCCCCAGTGGAACGGTGGCTCGGTGATCACACGCACGGCTATCGGTGATCACACTCACGGCTATCGGTGATCACGCGCACGGTGATCGGTGATCACATGGACGACTAACCACAAGGAGAGACGAGGGGAGTCAACGAGGGAAGTCGACGAGGGATGTCGGGCCCAGCGTGGCCCGGCCGAGACTCGGTGTGGCTGGCATCGGCAAACTTCCATGGGATGGGATCAAGACAAAAGAGGTGGTGGGTCCCTCCCCATTCCACTCCACCCTGTGACGTTCCGTTTCCTTGACAATCGATGCCAGATCGTCAACAACGATTCTTGAAGGGGGCTTTATAATTTTTGGATTTTCAGAATTTTTATATTTTTTTCTTTTTTGAGGACGAACCGCCCGAGATGAGATGGAGCGCTGAGATTGGAGGGCTTGTGGTGCGTGGGGGGGGGGGGCGGTGGGATTGTTGCATCCGAGGAGTGGGGGAGGGAATGTCGACTTTGCGTTGGAGAGGCCTTCATCCAGCAGTAATCTATTTTTATTTTATTTTTTATTTGACCAGGTGAGGCCCACTGAGCTACATGGCTCTTTTTCAGAAGCGACCTGGCCACAGATGATAGCTCACCCAAGTGGCTTATCGTG